CTTTACTTGGAACAGCTTACATCCTGCAGCGATAGCTTTAGCTCCATCAAACAACATCATCTGCCTATCCCAGGTCCTTGGGAAGGACTTGACAAGTGGATAAAAATGCCAAATCCAGTTTAAACATCTGGCTGACTGTGTGACCAACAACAACAACAACAATAAAAAATCTGTTAATTCCTCCAACTCCTTTTTTTTAACCAGTTATGTTTCTCCAAATCAATTTCCAGCTGCAAGTCAAAGCTACAATCAAGCTGCAGGGCAGAAGCCTGCAAAGTGAGTCACACCAGAACTCAAACCACCAGCTTCATTTCTCTTCTCCTTGGAATGGAGCCAAACACATTCCTCAATTTAGTGTTTTTTCTTTCAGCATCCAAACTTTGCAGGTAGTCCATAGGCTGTCCATTGGTTACCAAACAGTCTCTCTCTTCTCACTTTTCCCCTGTAAAAGCAAAGTTGTTTAGGTTGAGAGAAAAGAGACTGCACCCAATGGAGTTTACTGGAGGGAGAGACTTCAATGTGTTTGTTTTTTTTCAACCAGTGCCCTGAAATGTGCTTGTTTGTATTATCTTTGCATGGATTTAGTTCAGCATGGGCTTTGTCATTCCATTTCTACAATAAAAGCATGATCTTCAATCTATCTATTATACCAACTCATTTCTAAACCTAGAAGGTGTTCTCTCTTATCACAGACATGGGGAGATGTTGGATCAAGAACGTATCTGAGGAATGGAAAACCTGTAAATCCTCTGCTTCAGAAGCTTCTGCTTTGCTCTCTCAGACTTTAGCCTTTTTGGGCTTTTCATCTGGACACATGGTAGCTTGAAATTGGGTAGAGTGGAAAACCATGCATGGTAGCAGCCTCCCTTCCTATTCACCCAACCTCTACATGTTTCAGTGGGAGGGGATCTGTACATGTGCTTGTGAGTATTCTTCTTCTTGTGATCCAGGATACTCGCCTTCCACCTCCAGCAAAATGTGTGGTAGAGGGAGAGAATTGGAGGACAGGACCGTCTGCTCAACCCTTCTCATGGTCAGTTTCAAGCATTCACATATTCATGGAAAACGCCTGAAGAAACTATGAGTGTTCTAGCATTAGAAGGATGCTTAATCAGGTTAAGCAGATGTATTAAACCAACATGTTAAGTTTGATTAACATTAACCTTGACTACCCTTTTTGTGGCTTAGTATGTATGAAGCTAGCCTGTTTGGTTACTTTATACTTCAGTTTGTTGTGCAACCCTCAGAATGGATTAATTCAGTAACCAAGGTCAGTGTATTGTGAAAACACACCCAATATACCTTAGGGTACTGGTATCTCAAAGTCTTGAAGACTGCAGCTTAACTGATTGATATAAAGACTGGCATTTATTTAACCTTTTTTACACTGGCTTTGCATCTAATTGTTAGTATTTTAAATATGACTTTATTCTTGCTCTTTTATTCCTTGGATTTGGATAATATAAACAGAAGTATTCAGAGGAACCCAAAATATTGAAATAACCCTATTGAAATACTTGAATAGTTCTAGTTCCTTGAATGAAAAATATGGATACATCAGATCATTTCCAATATTGAACCATGCTTTGGGAGGGGCTCCCTCTGGGGCATGAAGCCTATGTCACTTGGGATCTATATACCTCTCCACCCCTTCTATGCCTTTTCTGACCTTCCACAGAACTCTAGCAGATGCAATCTGGTCTATCGTTAAACAGCAACAGCTCTCAGACATAATAATTAATGTGTATTGCCAAGGAAGTTATTGCTTTACAACTGTATAACTGCATACAACTGTAGTATGCCAAAATAGCTTTTGAGACCATGCTTTTATCCCTTTCCCCACCTCCTATACCACACCATATCCATTATAATAGTTGGTTGGTTGCCTCTCATTATGATGGCTGACACTTGGACATGCAGCTGCTCTAAGTCTGATTGGAATTTGCAGGCATCTCACTGTGAAAGAAATAGAAGCAGTTTGAGCTCTACAAACTCGGATGACTTTCAAAGTAACGCAAATACTCTTTCTGCCTGCCAGCACTGACAGGTGCAGATATTAGAAATGTCATATTTAAGTAGAGAAGAAAAGGCAACCATAAGGAGCCACTTTCCTTTTCAAGAAGGCTGTTAAAAGCCTCAAGGGCATGACTCCCCTGTTGTATGAGTAGTGATTTATTTAACTAATATTGGGGGTTTTCTTCCATGGGAGAAGAATGGGAGCAGTCGTCCCAGGCCCACATAGGAAGGGGGACATTTAAAGTGTGGTTGGGTTTTGAAAAAGGATTGGCTGGATCAGTAATTTTCATTTAAGGGAGTAAAACTAATCAGTTAAGACAAAATCCCAGGCATTACTTTAATATTTTGAGTTCCTGGACCACTGATTTCAGTGAAGAGAAAGAAAATACAGTCAAGTAGGATGCTATGAGATGAAAATGTGGATGATCAAATGAACATTTTGCTCATGGGACTCTCAGAGGTTTAAAAAGATCTGCAAATTCCCAAATGAAACAAGTATCCAGTTGTTCTTCCTAGTTCAGGAAGAGAGTTTTGACTTTTAGCAGAAAACATTTTGAAAAAAGAGAAGGATAAGAATCCTGTTTCCTTCTTGGCTTAATTTCTTCAAAGTACAGCATCTTGGGTTTTTTGTTTTCACAGAGCTCCAGGTATTTGTTGCCAAATTAGGGCATATTAAGCCTCAGCAGGTGGCAACCCTAGATGACCTTGGCTATCTCAGAAGCTCAGCAGTCTGTCCTAGTTAGGACTTGGGAATGGAGGACTATCTGTGAAGTAAAATACCACCCCAGAAGACAATGATACATCCATTCCATAACACTTCTAAGAAAACTCCATGGATGCACTCGCTAGGAGTTGAGCTTGACCCCAGGATATCCTTAACCTAAACCTAACTTTTTGGAATGATATACTGTATTATTCCACTGATTTTAAGACACTTTGTTCATCTTAATCTGTAATTAGGTTTGTGATATTTCTAGATTTTTAAGAACTTTTATTCTTGTTTTTATGATTTTCTATTCTAGCCTTGAATCTCCTACCTTTTCCTTTCTCATTCTCTTTTGTTTTCCTTGTTTGCTTCCTTTGATATCTGCACTGGTGTTATAACTGGACTCTTCTTACTGTTACCAATGAATCAGCTGCCTACCCCTAAATGCTACCCTAAGGTGACATGACATCACTAGCTGCAATTTGTTCAGCTGCCATGACATCACAGCCATGACACTTCTGTGATGTCACAGAAAACTTTGGAAACTTAGGAACAATTGTTCTCAGAAAAATTAGACTAATCAAGTTTTATAAGCAACTTTGATTTGCATTTATGATTTGGGCTTTTGAGTAAAAAATCAAAGCTGCAAATAGTTTAATCACCTCTTTCTGGAAATAAGCATGGAACATACACTGCTTTTAAAATAGGAAGGCTAAAGTACACAGGTATAAAACTGAGATTAGATGGAAAGCAAACAGTCTACCCAAAAATGCACAGAGATCTTATCCAAAGTGTTAACCCTTCCATCAAGTAATTAATTAGCTTTTATTAGACATCGTCTAAACCTAATGTTCCATTTTTCTTGCCCAGATCCCTTCAACAAAATAATTGGCAGCTAACCTGCTTATACTTATGTTCAAAAAGGGAGAAAAGGAGATCTGGGCAACTTGATGTCAACACCAGGCAAAACTCTGCAGCAGATCATTAAATAGTTGGTTTATGATAATTTAGAAAAGAATGCATTGTTTGGCAGGACTCTGCATGATTTTATTAAGAACAAGTCATGCCAAATTAAATTGAATGACCAGTTTAGAGGACACAGTGTTCCAAGCAAAGCATCTGACAAAGTTTCCCATGAGATTCTAGTAGAGAAGATAGGAAAGCATGGGCTTAGCTATTCTACTGTGGATATAGAGCTGATGGAACAATTGTATCAATGTGTACATCAATGGCTTTGTGTAAAATGGGAAGGAAGTGATGAATGACATACGGTGGGCTCTTTCCTAGGCTCTGTATTGTTGAGCATATTTATAAATTACTTAGATGAGGGGTTAGAAAATAAGTTTATTAAATTTGCAGACAACACAAAGATATTGGAATAAGAAACACTTCAGAGGATGCTATCAAGATTCAGAAGTATCTTGACAAAATGGAATGATGAGTAGAAACTTTACTCATTATTTTTAACAGAAACTAATGGAAAGTCCCATATCTGGGTAGGAAAAATCATAGACATGAATATAAGATATTGGGCAGCAGCACAAGCAAAAAGAACCTAAGTGTTCTGGTGGATCACACACTGAGCCAACAGTGTGATGCATCTGCAAAAAAAGAAGAAAAATCCTAGTTTCCCTCAACAGAAATACAATGTCAAGATTATGACAAGTTCTCATTTCTCTCTCTGCATTGTTCAGACCACACCTAGAATAATGTGTCCGGTTTTAGGTATCTCATTTTAAGAAGGACATTGACAAACTGGAGTATGTCTAGAGTAGAGCAGCCAACATCATAAGATATTTGGAAGGATAAACTTATGAGGAATGGTTGGAGGTGTTAGATAATTAATTCCGTATTCTAAAATTTGGAAGGGGCAAATTCTTTCTCCCTGCTCAACTAGTAAACCTATATAAATTAATGTGACCTCAGGAAAATCTGTCTGCAGATCTAAATAACTAAGCTGGATGAAACAGATAGTTCCTCAGATGATCAGGCCTTCAGCTATTAAGAATTTCAAAGATTGAAGTCTTTTCCTAGAGAGTAGGTCTATCTATTTAAGAAATAGCAGAGGTCTCTTGATGAGGATTTTAAAGATGAACTCTCTGAACCTGATTCCCCTGATTTGATGTTGCCTTCTTTCTTTTATTTTTATGGTATTATTGTTGTCACGCTTAAATATTTTAGATTGCTCTATTCAAACTTTTGGGTTTTACTTCTGTTCCGCAGATGTTTTAATGATAATAGTAAGCTGCCAAGAGTTTTTGACTGGCAGGATAAAAATATGTTTAATAAATAAAGTGTAAATAATAAATTAGCAACATGGCACCCACATCCCTACCTTTTTTACACATGCAAGTAATAAAAAGACCAACATTTTATGGCATTTTATGGCATCTCTCCTCTCACAGGATCTCATGTAACAACACTGAGATTTCATGAGTTCATGAAATTTTGCAAGATTTGGACCATTCTTTATGTTTCAGTTTTTTAGATGGTGGTAACCATTGCCTGAAAAAGCATTGACCCTGATGTAGGCTATAGTAAAACAAGTAAGATCTATGATAGAGCTGCTATTAGGACTCATGATGTAGTGACAGAATATGTTAATAAGCTTGTGATATTAAAAGCTGCTTCTCTATAACCACCACTGCATGGTCTAGAGCAAAGATAGGATAGCATTATTCTATAAAGGGTTAAAGCAGGGCTAGGATTTCATTATGGGGAGATCCAAACCTGTTTTTAACCTTCTCCCTCCTTCTATCAATAGAGTACTTTATAGGGGGGAAAAAAGCTTTCCCAACTTACACTATTTCAAATACATTTATGGATTTGAACAAGGAGATTTGTCCCATTGGATTTCTCAACCTCATCCTGTGAAATAGCAACAGGATCTTCTTATTTAATGTAACTCGGAGCAAAGTCAAAGCTGAAATTTTGTGGAAGAATCTGTAAGAACTTAACTGTTGATGCTTTGTGAATTCATGAACATGCCATCCCTGTTTCCATTGTGCATACATTGGGAATTAGATTGGTATAATTAAGCTAGTAATGTTGATGTCCTTGGGCTCTTGACTGCAGAACTCCTTGGTGTTGCTATCCTATTCCTGTCACCTCCTGCAATGAACAGCCAGGTCATAAGCAGGCGCATGCTATTTGAAGGGATACTTGACTTTGATGAAGCCTTTGAGCAAAATGATTCCCAAGTTAAGTAACTAGCTTCCTGGCATGCTCAGAAACCACTCTTTCAAGGTGAGGCTACCAGCTAAGAACTAGCCTCTCTTTAATCCTTTGCAAGGTGGAGCATTGGCACAAAACATGTTGTCTCTGTTGTTTAGAGCACCTTCCATTTGCATACCCCTAGCAAGTAAGCAATAGCAGCTTAAATCCACTTAGTACTATCAAAATCATCTAGGTTCAGTCTCATCTAGAAAAGCCAGAATTATTTTCTTCCCAAGACCTAGACAGCCCCACTCTGCTGTTATTCAGAAGAGCCATGAAGACCTGGCTCTTC